CTTTCCCTAGAAGGCTGGGGAAGCGCTGGGATGGGTGCCCTAGGGATGGGGTGGAATCTCCATCCCTAGAGGTTTTTAAGTTCCAGCTTGACAAAGCCCTGGCGTGGATGATTCATTTGGGGTTGGGCCTGCTTTGCGCAGGGGCTGGACTCCATGACTCCTGAGGTCTCTTCCAGCCCTAGGATTCTATGATTCTATGAATTGGGGATGTAAAATCCCATTTCATTAGTTAGCATGTTAAACATTAACCAATTAACCAGGGCAAGCAGAGGGAGGTTGCTCCAGCCAGGCTGGTGCACCCTCCCTCTCCTCGCCCATGGCAGGTCCTGCAGGGCTGAAGCAGCTGGCTGCCCTCAGCAGGTGGGGGGCTGCTGCAACGTCCATTAGTTAACTGTAACTGTTAAGGGGGAGGTTTGCTAGTTAACCGGTTAAATATTCATATCCCTGCTCTCAATCCTGTGTAGTCCCAATCTGATATTCCTTGCAGCAGAGAGCAAATGAGCAGGAATTTTCCACCTGCTCTTCCTAGGACCTGCCACAAATCTGTTCTCAGTCCTAATTTTACTTCTGTAAAGACTGTCAGAACCAAACCCGCTACAGCTACATTTTCTAATGGTCTCGGCAGGAAAGAGGGACCTGAGAGCCATGTTATCTAGTGAATAATTTAATCACTGGAACAGTTTACCAAGGGCTGTAGTGGATTTGCTGGAAATTGTAAAATCAAGATTGAAACAGACATTACTTTAGGGAAGTTCTGTGGTCTGTGTTATGCATGCCATGCCCCCTGGTAGATCATCGCATACCTCAAGGGTGCGTCTAGACTGGCAAGATTTTGTGCAAAAGCCGCTGCTTTTGTGCAAATACTTGCCAGCTGTCTACACTGGCCGCTTGAATTTGCGCAAGAGCACTGACTTTGTAATGTAGAAAATCAGTGCTTCTTGCGCAAATACTTTCATGCTCCCGCTCAGGAAAAAGCCCTCTTGCGCAAGAATACTTGTGCAAGAGGGCCAGTGTAGAGAGGGAAGAATTGTTTCGTGCAAAAAAGCCCCGATGGCTAAAATGGCGACCGGGGCTTTCTTGCGCAAAATCATGTCTAGACTGGCCACGGATGCTTTTGCACAAAAACACTTTTTGCGCAAAAGCATCCTTCCCAATCTAGACGCGCTTTTGCAGAAATATTTTTAACAGAAATACTTTTCCGTTAAAAGTATTTCCGCAAAATCATGCCAGTCTAGACATAGCCCAAGGGTATGGGTACCTTTGATTGAGAACCACCGCTCCCACTCTCAGTGCCCTCTGTGTGTTTGGGTTGGTGTGGATGGAACATGGCTCCATGGGAGGAGGTTATAGGGGGCAGATGAATAAAGTATGTGAGAGCAAAGCTTATTGATTTTGACCCTGCCATTAGGGTGACTCTGTGCAAGGGCAGAGTCCTTAGGCAAACCTTTTTTGTCTCCAGTGAGAGAGGTGGAACCATTGGCCAAAGAGCTCCTGGATTGTTCATTGAGGGCAAAAGCGTAATAAGATGTAAAAGGTTCTTGGATATTTATGTGGATCTTAATAATCTGAAGTTGTTATAAGTATTGGCAAGAGAGTTTGGGAAGGGATATTAAAACTTGTGCTTCAGGGCTTAAGCCAATTTCAGACTAACAGAAACCAGGATGAAACCTTCATGTGGGGCATGATGTCTCCCATGTACCTACGGGAGTGTTCTTGCATCTCTGTCTAGTACTGTCAGATACAGCATGCTGGGATAGATGACTCTGGGTCTGAATCCTTATGTAAATCCCTATGTTCCTGTGCTATGCCAGCTGTGTTGCAAATAAGGCTGACATCCTATCTGGAAATTTCTGAAATCTGATCTCCATTTGTTGAACTTTCAACGCCTGATTCTGCTTCTACAACTGCCCTGCTATTTTCAGGCCCTCAATACCATTCATTGTCTAACCCCATTGAGCTTGCCACTTAGGTAAGAGTTAAAGAAGAAGGATACTTGCATCTTTTGAAAGATTAAAATATTTTTACTGTAATTCATCTGGAATGGCAACACTTTTCTCAGGGTCAGAGACAGACAAGTATTTCCCCCTTCTCCCCTCCCTTCGTCTACAGGAAGGAAGTGCTGGCAAGGGCCCTCTGAGCTTCCTGTCAACTTCTGAGCATATTTCCAGACACAATCTTCTCCACCATCCATCACCCAGACCAGCAAAACAATTGCTGCAGTGCAACAGGAAAAACACACGTCTCTCATAAACAATTTGGAGGCTGTATGATCCCAAACCACTGGAATTCACATACAAGCCAGATTTATCTGAGAGTTACATGTGACAGGAGATTATTCAGTACTTTCTTCTCTTCCTTTTTTAACCAGATGTTTCAA